ATATTTGAAATTGTTCTTTAAGGTTAATATAGTTTTTAAATCATAACATGATATAATTTACGAGTTAAAATTTAATAAAATATTAAATTTTATTTTAATAATTTATTCTTGGTTAATAATATACAAATAATATTATCTTATATAAAAAATTATATAAGTTATTTAAATAAATAAATAAGAAATTTTAGTATTTAATTAAAAATTAAAATAGAGATACGTCATTTAAAAAAATCTCAACAAAGATCGATGCAATTTTTCTAAAAAAAATATTATTATTAAAATTCATCTGATAACAAATATGATTCACTACAATAAAACAGGTCATTAGAGTCGGTTCAAAGGCAACTCTAAAAAATTGACTCTATTCCAACACTAGTGCTAATTTTATGTCCAAAAACAAGTTAATAGTATTTAAAAATATAATTCATTTATTAGTCGATGCTATGCTTAATTTATTTTTGACTTAAGTATTATTTTAATTCTTATAAAATGAATGAATTTTGATTATTATCACTAAAAAAAATTTCTTTAATTTTTATTATTAAAAGTTTATAAATAATATTTTTAATTCTTTTAAAATAAATTTTTTTTGATTTTTTATTTATTAACGTTTTTTTTTTTGGCGATCTGATAAAATTGCCATAGTATCCCAACTCCATTCACCGCCACAAATGAGTATATTTCTTTTGGCACTTTTTTGTTAACACCCATTATTTTGAATATGTTCCTTCGTTTATTTCACGTGTTATTAGTACGTGTTAACTTAAGGCGTTTCTTAAAGACATACTTAAAGCATTTTTTTTTAAAAGAAAAAACACTTAAAGCATTTATAAGTTAAAACCTCACTTGAAGCGTTTGCACCATTAATTTTTCAAAGTTCAAATGCTCAATTTTCGTTGACATTGTCACCAAGAGATTGAATATCAATGTCATGCACATCCTAAAGCATGAGTCAATACAAGAAGGGTTCTGCTTCTATAAGAATGAGAAAAAAGGAAAAGATGTTACGTTTTCCTTTTATATATATATATATATATATATATATATATATATATATACCAATGTAGACGTAATGACAGGTTTGTAATAACTAGTATATTTAATGAAGATAATAAATGTATGAACATGCACGTATATAATTACTTATAAGTGCAAATGTTTTAGGTACTCCCTTCTTTTGTGCCAATATATAAGGGGGAAAAACTTAATTTCACTCGGTATAAGAATTCAATCATTTAATTTACATGATTTTACACAAAAATATACACTACATTTTTTAAAATATCTTTAATCACATATAATACATAATGCTCTCATTTATTATTAAAGTATTTTTGAGTTAAAAATATTAAATAAAGTTGATTTTATTAAAATTTACTCTAAATTTTTTTTATAATTATTCATCAATTTGAATTAATGAAATGAAGTATCAAATAATTTTCAATTTTTTTAAAAAAATTTGTAGATTTGATATATACTTTAAGAACTTTAAATTCAACGGTTAGATTGTTGAGATTTGATATAGAACATGAGTTATTAAACAGAGTAAGTTCTTAAATTTATATAATATAAAATTTTGTATATATGATCTACGAGTAAATAACTTTCAATTTAACGGTTGGATTTACAAAATTCACAATTAATATAAAGTTATTGAATGGTGTAACACTTAGTTAAAGTTACATCATTCAATAACTTTATATTAAATGTGAATTATGTAAATTCAACCGTTAGATTGAAAGTTCATATCATTTTATATGTGTATATCCAATTTTGTTAAAATTGAACAACAACTTGAGGGTAATCAAATTGTTCATATTATAGTATATTTTGAAATAAATATATTACGTTAATTTTATTTTATAAGAATAAAGTATCAAATCATCTTGGATTAATATAAAATTTTGTATATATAATCTAAGAGTAAAGAACTTTCAATCTAACGGTTGGATTTACAAAATTCACTTTTAATATAAAGTTATTGAGCGATGTAACACTTAGTAAAAGTTACATTGGTATCGTTTCAACCCTCCAAAATATATATATATATATATATATAAGTTTAAGATGGAATAGTGTTGGATGATCATATTCTTTGATAAGACGCAGTTTACAATGAAGTCTTCGATCAAATTGGTATTTTTATTGTCTTTCATAATTATTGCCTCAGGTAAGAAATCATATCACCTATGATCAAATGAGTCAATTTCCTATACAATGTTTCATTGTGATTTTTCCCTCACATCAATTATATCTTTTACTCATCACTTACAAGGTTGTTCTTACGTTCATGTATTGTTTGCGGATTCAGATTTGAGTATGAAATCTGAAGCACAACACCCAACTCCTGGACGAGGTTGTAGGAAAAACTCAGATTGTAAACATTTTTGTCCAACTTGTCCTAAATGCACTTGTGCTGATGGCATGTGTTTGTGCAATCCACCTGTATCCGATAATATTTATGATGGTGCTCCCCCTATATATTGAGTACCCCAATAATGCAGATCAAGAATGATAAAGGATTCATTTGAAAAATTGTAAGGTCAAACATTAGCTTATGAATGTGAAATAAAATTATCTTTTAACATTTTCCTTAATCCTTTTGATCTATACTTATTTTAGATTTTGTTTAAATTAAGATTTCTTTTTCCGCGGGTGGGAAGGGAGGAGAGACAATACATAATCATCACAATATAAAGAAAAGAAAAAGAAAAAAAAATTGCACTTACCTGCCTTAAAATTTGTTTTTCCTCTATTTTTTAAAGACTATACTTAGAATAACGTCATTATTTAAAATGAAAAAAAGAAAAAATAAAAATTAATTTATACTCTATCAATTATAT